ATCATCTATTGCCCTATGTTAAGAACATATATTAGTTGATCCTTTACCTACTGTTGATTCTGTGACAGAGGATTTGGACACAATGAGCAGAAAGAACCTATTGTAGACTCACAATTTGTGATACTTCTATGAAATCTGCTTTAACAGCCAGAATCGGGGTAGAACAGAAAAGTCACTCAGAAATGAAACACAAGGCTTTTTAAAATTTAAATGATGTAAAATCCTTGTTAGGTGGACTTGATAATGTGTCCTAATGTTATAGCAAATAGGAGAATAAATATTCTTGGATATACTGATCATATTTTTTTTCTGTGAAAGCAACAGATTGCTTTCAATAGATAGTTGGTCCTCATTTCTAACATCATGAGAATATTTGTTTTACTTTAACCCAAGTAAACCTGAAAGTATGATCTTTGAATGGCATTTTTATAATTCAAATGTTCTATATTTAAAGGAAAAGGAAGGTATAGCATGACAGTGTTTAAATTGAGCATTTATTCTGCCAGACACTGTAACATGTGTTTTCCAGACATTCTCTTATTTAATCCTTATATTCTGCCAGTTTGGTATTACCCCTTTGTTAATGAAGAAAATAAAGCTCAGAGAGGTTGAGTATATAGCCGAAGATTGCATAGCAATGAGGAGTCTGTTTATATGGTAAGACATTTCGGTCTGTTGCAAAGTTAAGAGACTGGAGAAATCCATCTGTGTGTGTGTGTGTGTATGTAGATGCATAAAAGAAGTACGCTTTGTGCAAAAGTCTCCATGGAAGTACTTTTAATGTCATTAGTGGTCTTGCAAAGTTAAAAGAAGGGGGCAGGAATTAGCCATAGGGAGAGGGCAATGCAGAGCACTTAGGGGTTCAGAGTATTTTGATCTTGGCAAGAAGTCATCAATTACAAATATTGAGGAGCCAAGGCTTGAGCTGTAGAGAGCAATGAAATGACAGGAGTAATTGCACTGGAATGACATAAAAAAGTGGCAAAAGGGATTCTTTTAGAAACTGGCCCCTAGTTGAGCAAGTGAAAGAGAGAAACACTTCCACGAGCTCTGGAAATATTGGTGCTGCTGACAGAAATCAAAGAAGGTGGCAACAAATAAAAAGTATATGTGGAGATATTTGTCTTTTCAAACACATGCATAAGACCAAAAACAAGTAACTTATTGGAATCATTGCTAAAAATTGGGGACATAAATATTTAAAATAAATTAATAATATATTCATTTCTTTCATTATTGAATTGGTATTATTATAACTACTTCACAACCAGAATGACTTAAACTTGGATGATAAAATGACATTCCTGAGGCAATGCAAAAATTGAGACATGCTTTGGAACTCACTAAGAACAAAATGATGTATACATTTGTGTATCTCTAAGCATTTGGGCTTTAATCTGTCCTTTGCTAACTCAGAGTGTCAATATTTTGGTTTTCTCACTGATTACATAAAAATCTAGTAAGATATACTTGGGTTTGGTCTCCAAATGAATGGAAAGAGTGTGGCTAAACTACCACCTCCCGTCCCAGCCACACATGTGTATGTACCCATGCATGCACCCATAATGCTCGAAGTTACTGCATTGCCCACACTCATGAGTCTCAAACAAATTTCTAGAATTGGACTTTCTTGGTCAAACAATTTGTGCAATTTTAAGGCTCTTGAAAGGGCATACCACTTTATTCCTCATATATGTGTATGCACGTGTGTGTGTGGGGGGGGTATATTCCTGTTTCCCAATGTCTTCTTGAAGATTGAGTCTTCCTTTTATGAACAATGTACGGATTTCATAGGCAAAAATAAGATGTTGTTGTTTCACTTACTATCACTTTAATACTAAAATTGAAGAAATTATGTATTATTAAATTGTTTTTCTATTTGTGATAATATTAAGGTACTTTTACTGATTTTTCTGTATCTTATTTTCTTCTTATTAAATGGAAGAGCCCTTGAATAATATTACTTTTAGTTGTAGGTGGTTTTCACAGGCTTTGTTTGCTTTTCAATTTTATTTATGGATTTTGTGGTACACTGAAGGTTTTTGTAGTTAACTCTATCAATTTTGACATTGTTTTTTCTTTGATATCCAACTGCAGAAGTCCCTTTCCCAGTGGTCAGTTTCTTAAAAAAATCTGTTGAGATTTTGATTGAAATCACATTGATCTGTAAGTCAGTTTAAGAAATTTTGTTATCATGACAATATAGCCTTCCAAACCATGAACATAGATCACCTTCAATTTCTCTTTGTAATATTTAGATCTCTTTTAATTTCCCTTTATATTATTTTATAGATTTCTGTGTCCAAGTCTTACACATATTCAGTTAAGTTTACTTATTTTTTTAATTTCAAAATTTTTTCCATTTTTCATGTTTATTAAACATTAAAATGTTTTTGTCTCATTTTCTAATAGTTTGTTGTCAACGTAAAAAAAAGTTACTTTTTTTTTTTTTTGTCCTTTTTGAGACCGGCTGCACCGCGCTCAGCCAGTGAGCGCACCGGCCATCCCTATATAGGATCCGAACCAGCGGCGGGAGCGCTCCTGCGCTCCTAGCGCTGCACTCTCCTGAGTGCGCCACGGGCTTGGCCCAAAAGTTACTTTTTTTATATTGATCTTGTATCTTACTATCTTACAACTTTGCTAAAATTTATTTACTAGTTCAAGTAGTGTTTTTGCAGATTACTTTGGTCTTTCTACAAATAGTATCCTGTTTTCTCCAAATATGAAGTTTTATTTCTTCTTTAAAATGTGTTTTTATTTATTATTCTTGCCTTATTGAACGCAATAGGACTTCCAGTACATTTGTGAAACCAAAGTAATGAGAGCAGGCATTCCTTCCTTTTTCCTGTTCTAAAGAATAAAGAAGATAGCTGTTCACAATTGAGTGTTATATAGGTTTTCATAGATTCCCTCAGTCTGGCTGCTGAGAATTTTTATCAGGAAATGGTGTTGAATATTGTCAAATACATTTTTGAAAATATCATATGGTTTTCCTTACTCCTGTATTCTGTTAATATGGTATATTATGTTGATTGATTTTCAACTGTTAAACCAACCTAGCATTTTTGAATAAACCTCGCTTGGTCATGATGTATTGTCCTTTTTATATTGTTAGATTTGATTTGGTAATATTTTGTTAAGGATTTTGCATCTGTATTTATGAGAACTATTTGTGTATAATTCTTGACTTGTCTTTTCAGGGTTAGAATCAGGGTAACATTGGTCTTATTTAGATTGCAAAGTGTTCCTTTCTCCTTTATTTCCTCAAAGTATGTGTGTAAGATTGGTATTATTTCTTTCTAAATTGAATAGAGTTCACCAATGAAACCGTCTGGGTCTAGAGTTTATTTTATGTGTCGATTTTCAATGACTAACTTAATACCTTAGTTGATAAAGGGTTGCTCAAGTGTTCTTTTTCTCCTATGATCAGCTTGATAATCTTGAGTGAAAGTGAGAAGGAAGGAGATTGATTAGGGGAGCGTCCTATACTACCCTGCAGTCCAATGAAGGTTTGAAAGTCCGGCAAGGCCATCAGAGAGTCATTAATCAAAAGCCACCTGTCAGGGGAGTCCCAGGTCTCCCCCAAATACACAGCCTCAGAGATCAGCCATTAGCAAGGTGCAGCCTGTGGGAACTGTGTGGCTTCCCTTGGTGTGATCATGAGACTCCAGCAATCAGCAATTAAGCTTTCTGTCAATGGGGGTCTGTCAGGTGCATCTCATGGCTGCCACGTGCGTGCTCTCCTGTGCATTCTTGATGTCCTGCATTCCCAGTGCCTTCTCTGACAAAGATGGTCAATCAACACTTATTGATTGAATGAATCATCTGAATTCCTTAGCAGTTGACAGTCCCAGCTTATATTTGTCATTTGCCGTTTATAGAATTGCCATGTATTTTTGTTCTATTTTTATATTTATATATACCCACATTATATCCAAAGCCCTGCTTCATCAAGATTATTTTTAAATGTCTAAAACTCAAAAACTTCATTAATTCATTGATTAGCAATCCTTCTAGGCTCAATAAAGAAAAAAAGATCATGATAACTCGCAGAAATAATTTGCTTAAAAATAAACAGCTTAAAGCTATTAAGGGCATGACATATGGAAAATGTCATTTATCTACTTCTTCAATAAGGATCTATTGTATGCCAGGAATGTGCTCAGTGTGGGTAACACTGTGATGAATAAGACAGATAAGCTTGCCCATGTTTTGCTTATAGGTTTCTGAGACACACACATAACAGTTTAACATATAAGTACATAAAAAATTATGTAGAAGAGCTAGAGTTGGAAACTTACCAAATCATAGTGCCCTGAAGTTTTATTTATCCTATGCAGTCAGTTAGTGTTAAGAGATTCAACCATGTTCATATAAAAACATGCCTAAGATAAATTAACACAAAATTCAAAATTGAGGAATCTATAAATAATGGTCACATTTTTCCTTCAAATAAAAAAAACAAAAAGTCCATCTTCCTGGAACATTTCCAGAATTGCATCTCTTTTATAAAGCTTTAATAAAATTTGATTTATATATTTATTTATTTACTCAGTCCTTTCTTCATGCTTTATTACTTAGTGCTGCAAAGCACAAAGATGAAGAGGACACTTTCCATATTCATAATTGTTTTATCACATGTCTATAGGTGACAATTTGCTACTAGAATCTTCTGATTATTTGCAATTTATTTTATTTAGTTTTTTACTGGGTCAACACTTTAACAACTTATATATGAAATGCTATAAACATGCTTGGTGAAGAGGACTTAATGGATAAGACATTGTTTCTAGTCTCAAAAAAATGTCAAAATTAGATAGTAGTTCTAATATAAAATGTTTATAAATCTAATATGGAAATTTTATATAGTTATTTATTATAATCTGATGGAAATCAAGCTTTGACTTTCACACTTAAAAAATATCTCCAAGTTAGTTATACACAGATTACTTTAGAAAATTGACATACTAGATATAAAATCTTTTTTTTTTTTCTTTTAGGAAAGTCTCAATAGACATCAATACTTGAATTCTTTATTTCCCAGTGAAAATTCCACTGCCTTCTATGGAATAAATCAGTTTTCTTATTTGTTTCCTGAAGAGTTTAAAGGTATGGTCTGGTGGTGTTATTAGTTGATTAATTTCTTAATATTAACTTGTTTGCTTAATTTTTGAAGAATTGTTTAATTGTAAATCTAGTAAATGGAGTAATAGTTGGCATTTATTAAATACTTATCAACTAAGTGTCAAGCATATACCATGTGCTGAACGTAAGAAGAATAAATTCATGGCCACTTTGCTCATCACTGCTTAAGAAATAAATATTATAATTATACACATTTCCATTGCTATGAGGGTCAATTGTCTCATCACTTCTGTAATTTACTAGTGCTATTTCTATTCAGGACAACCATGGTTCCATGGGTTATGATAAAACAAATGATGTCAATTATACAATTTTATTATTGACCTCATTCTATCAAACAAGTAATTTTATGTGTCAGCTCCAGCCTTATCATAGGAATTTTTCTCTCTTGTAGCTTCCAGCTGAATGTATTCCATGTATAGAAGAGTACAAAGAAAAATCTAAAATGGCAGGTCTACTAGAAAGCTACTTTTCTGCTTGAAAAATTCCTCTGAAAAGAATTCCAAGGGTTCCTCCCTAGAATGTAATATTGTTTGTCTTTTCATTTCATGTTTCTACTCAGCCATTTATTTAAGAAGCAAATCTTCCAGGTTTCCCAGATACCCAGCAGAAGTACAAATGTCCATCTCCAACGTGTCTTTGCCACTAAGATTTGACTGGAGGGACAAGCATGTTGTAACTCAAGTGAGAAACCAGCAAATGGTAAGTTTTATATTTTTTTCTTTTTTAATCTGTTAGGCATTGAAAGGCAGCTTTGAGGTCAAGTTCAATTAAGCTTGTAGTGAAACCCATCGTTTCTCTAGGTAAAATCATACCTCATTTATCCAAAAACAACAATGAAAGGAGAATCTCTGGAGGAATCAAAGACGGATGTCAAAGCCTTGACTGTTATTCCTGGAGATAAACCTTCCTTGTGTTCTCTCACTAACTGCTGCTGCCACCCTGCACACTAACTCAGAGATCCTTCCCAGAAGCTGTTTCACAGAAACCAAGCCTTCTCTAGAATAGCAGAAGGAAGGCTGGAGTAGGTAAACATGACCACTAAATGCTTAAGTGGTTCAAAAGAAAGACAGCGGCGAAGAAGTAAAATGAAATTGGTTGCATTTACCAGCAGCGTGGCCAGATCTCCTGGGTCCTGAAGCCTCCTTCTGTGAGCTGCATCAGAAAACCCTGTCCCCATCCTCACTCCCTTGCAGCATCGCATACCTTTTAGTCTGTAGTCCTTAAAAGTGCAGTCAGTTCAAATATCAGGAGACATATGTGTTCTTAAAAATCACCACCTGTACAAAAGTGTGCAACAAAATGACAGGGATTATGGGAGAAATGAGGTTAGATCACAACGCTTTAAAATTTAAGTCAAGGACCAGCCCATGGCTCACGTGGGAGAGCGTGGTGCTGACAGGACCAAGTCAAGGGTCAAGATCCCCTTACTGGTCATCATTAAAAAAAAAAAAAAACTCAAGTCAAAAACATGTTAAAAAAAAAATGGAAATCTAACAAACATGGTAGCACAATTTTACACATGTTAAATGATCAAGAAGTAAGTACTGCAATAAATACAGCAATTTACCTTGAAAAAGACCCTAAGTGTGCTTGGTTGGGAGGGTGCAGCTTGTGAGTTATTGCAAGGTGGTGAAAGGAGGGTTATCTGAGATCGGAATGGAAAGGGTAACTCCAGACGTGGATGGGGATGACCTATAACACAACACACAGA